AAATCAGATGCTGTTGGTACCTGTACTTGTGGTTAAATATGTAAATTGTAATCCCTGTACATTTTGCTGTATGATGTCCTTTTGTTGTTCTGTTGTTTATGTCTTCTTGTGGAACCTATTGCTGCAGGTCTCCCTTGAAAAAGAGATCATTGATCTCAATGGGATTTTACCTGGATAAATAAAGGTTTTGAATTGAATTGAATTGTTACTTTGGATGAGGTTTTCATGAGTCAGTCAAATTAATTTGTTTTCAAATGCCATATTCATATGAATCACACACGTAAGGGTAAGACACAACCCTATTGAACAAATGCAATGCAATGGATAAGCTTAATTTCCACTGAAGTCACAGATAACGTCATATATAATATTTAAACAAATCATTTCCTTGTCACTAAAGCATTGACTACGCTATTCATCATCCTTAAATGCAGGAATTAAGTTACATGTTCCGTTGTACAGCCACGATAAGGCTGTTTCTCAAGTGTGATGATAATACAATTAAAAGAGGCATTGGTAATAATATTAAAAACAACAATGTTTGGGTCGTTCGTCGGATAGGCGGTTAGCTGCAATAAATAACTCCAGTTCAACAAACCATATTACAATATCTAAGGGAGCGTTATTTCTGGACCATCTTGAAATGTGACGATCATATTTTAAAGATACACACATTTCATTGTGAGGTTGATTTAATATACACTAAGCCTCTCTTCAACAATACGTTGAAGTTAGTGTTAGTGTATTCTATAACCCCGAAGGCAGGAGAGACTGAAAAGAGTCAAGGGAAGCTTATAAAAGTTAACAGCATTTAATTACACAAAAGATGTGGTGGTGTACAGTACAAAATGAAATGTGCGAGTGGAGGCGTTCTCCTCATCCGCCCGGTCAGTCCAGGTCACCCGGTAGAAAGAGGTCAATCCTTGGCTTGCTCTTCCTGTTGTCATCGGAGGTCTTCTCCTATTGGTCGGGGGCGGGTCCAATGCAATTTCTGCCTTTTTCTGTTGTTAAATTATATCATTCTGGTGTCTGTGGTTATTTAAACATTCCCTAATAAACGTTATTCAGCGGTAATAAATGAGTACTAAACCCAGTGTGCTCAGTGTACAACATCACATGTCCTTTCACCTTTGATTCACGGTTTGAAAATGCAGCATTTCGCCACATGCTAATGCTAACCGGAAATGAAGAATTTTCAGAATAAAAGTATTAAGTTAATAGTTAGTGAACTTCCGGTTTTTCAGAATAAAACTGATTTAAATTAAATAGTGTATTTAATTCAAATTACGCCATACCAACATTGATTTTAATTTCTAACAATCCCTCCTTACATACCCTTTAAGGTATGTAAATAATATTGAAATCAATTAGTTCTTCATCCGAACATTGCATGGTACATAACTCATAAAAGTAAAAAAATACAAATAAGAATACATATTCATCATAAATATGAAGTTTTTCATAACTTCTAGCTTAAACCTTTAATGTCACTTTGTAAAATAGCAGCAATTAGCTTGGTATGGAAAACGTCTAACTCCCTCCTTTCACATCATAAATAATCTTCTTACTGTATCTGGTGTAAAGGCACTTGTTCTTTTACAAAGTATAAGAAGGCTTAAACTATCTGAAAATAGCTAAATATTACTCTTTATTTACTTTTACTGTGTCTCTGGTGTAATTTATGAATCTCTGCTGGTTCTAGTAGATATAGTTCTCCCCATCCACATTCTTGTTGGTTGTGGGACAGAGGAATAATAATTCAGAACTTGCTGATATTTGAATCTTACTACTGGGCATATGTTACAAACAAAAAACATCTTCATGGTGAACTAAATAAAATCCTTGTAATATTTCTCAAATCTAAATATAACAATGAACTATTCCTGTTTGTGGTAAAGACACACACTAACGTTATGTAATACAATTTCATTATGGATTCAAAAACAACTAAAGTCATGATGCTGTCAGAGTGAATGATTTCCTGAGTGTATCTGTCCTGTAAGGTACACCATTCTCTGCTTGGATCGTGTGCAGAAATCCCATCGATTGCACCTGGCAATACGGCTTCTACCTGTCTATTATCAAGCTGAAAAATGAATACAGAATTCCAACATACGGTCATCAAATGTCTTTCTATTATGAATTTAAATTAAATGTATATCCCCATAATGAACTAAACAATAAAGTCTATGGCTTTTACTTCTAATTCTTTACCAGGCTAGTTACAATATGTTGTCTAAATTAAATTCGGTATCATTACATTACTATGTTTTAGCTTAACTTAACTGTAATATGTTCTTTCTACATTTCAAACCTCAGTTACTCTAATGTCTGTTAAAATATTACAAAATTGCCTAACTATCACAGGTCAACTTCTTCGGTATTCTATTCTGGAATTACATCTCTCACAGTAGCCCCTTGGCCACTGCTTCTGTGTTACCTGTTATAATTCAATCAATATTTAGAAACATCTCAACATTCATCAAACAGTATCTTATCCCCAGATATGGAGCAGGTTAATTATAAAACTATCATTCAATGCTCAGTTTGAACATCTGGGTTGGGGCGGAAGGTTTCTGTCAATCCTTAAAAGAAACATTTAAATTGTGAATTTTACAGCCATGTTGACATTATACATACTCCCCCCTTTTACACATGAACTCATGTGTAACAAAACCCTGTAATGGGGAGGGGAACAAAAAACTGTCAGGTAATTGGTTAGGGACATAACGAACATTATTTACAATTTTACATCAATTATCATTATTTCCACAGTAAACACTTCAGTGAAAAGAAGTGTTCCTCTCCGTCCTTCAGGCCTAAAAGAAACAGAATCTTCAGATTTTAGTTTTACATTTGCAAACCGCCAACTCATGTGGGAGTAAAATATCATCAAGTAGATTAGAAACGGGTCACATGTGCGGTTTCCCCTTTTTGTGGAATTTTTAGGAAACCTCTCGTTTCCCTTGGAGCTCCAAAATAATATGTTAGTCCAAAAACATGCTTGGTTAGTTATTGTTTTAGAATCATGCAGTTACACTGATCACATGCCGGCATTCATTCACACTCACACTGTCTGGTTGTCATGTCAGGTTTGGTCAGGTACACCCCAGAGTCAGTCATGGACAGTGCTTTTGTCACACTGTCAGTCAGGGTCAAAGGTCGTTTGGTCTCGGTCTTTTGGCCATGTCGTGCTCTGCAGAGTCTTTTCAGAGGTATTTCAGCATAGGCGGGTACCCTTTATCTACAAAAATATGTCATATGTGGAGCGCCATTCCTTATTCATTCACGATTTCAACTATGATTTTCAAGATGATTCTAACTTTTCATTGGGACTTCTGCCTCCCACTTTTCCTGAAACTTGGTACAAAACTCACTTCCTTAGAGTACTACTACTGCAATTCATTTACACCTAATTAGTATTAAAATGTCTAATGATCTATTTCAGAAACTTGTGTACATAACTATTATCTTGAGTCAAAACATTACTAGGATCTGTGTAGCTCTGCATTTCATAGCTCATTATACTCATTTATCTTTAATTCTGGTTTACTTAAAAAACAATGTTAAACTCTTTAGCAGTGTGTGGAACCTTGGGTGTCCGAACATGCAACAATTACTCCCTCCTTTATCAAGGATTCAAAACAGAAGTCATTTTATATTTCCATCTTAAAGCCCTCTTATGGTAATAACTATGCTACAATGGTGAAATCAATACTTTAGATTGGAACTTTATATTTGGCTTGGCACCAGCTCTCCATTTAACGTTATCCATACAAATAAAGATTTGTCCTATAGAGTGGTTCCTAAAACTATCCTTTTAATGGTGATCAATATTGTAACAAATGAGATCACTACTTTATTCACACGTGAATAAAAATCTCTTAAAGAATGATTTGTTAAAAGATTGAAGAATATGGTTCTACTCTGTCATGTCTTCCCCTTTATCCCTCAGTGTGTTTTAGGATGATTCTCATTTTACTTTAATCTGTCTTTACGTATTTATGAAGTTAATTCAAGTTATTTAAATGTGCATTTTGTGAATAAGTGTGTTTATGTGTAAACTCACTCATTCCCGTTCTCCTTTTCTCCTCCCCTGGTTTTCTCAAGCCGTGACCCCGGCCTCCTCACTTCTAATCGACCATGCCAACTCCTCTGATTCCGTCTTCTCTTCAGTCCATCAGCTGTTGAATCCATCCTGTAACTTTTTTAGGCAGCCATTGGCCCAGTCACATCTGCAGCCCCATCGTGCCACTGTTGTTGCACTGCTTTGCATTTCATCTCCTCCTTTACAGTCTCTCTGCTGTTTTTATGGAGGGCGGATTCTGCTCTTGTGCCAAATCTCGTGGCTCAGCTTGGAACTTCATGCCCTGTCTGAGGGGCTGATGAGAGTATCTCTCTGTATGTCAGCATGCTGTTTGGTTCTGGATGCCACAGGTGGAGATAGTTCTGGCTGCAGTCTTGTTGTTGTTGTTGTTGTTTCAGCTCTGGTTCTCTGTCTGTTCGATGGAGAAGGAGGAGTCTCCTGTTGGGTTAGGTATTTTGTCTGTTTGGAGGGTCGGGATCGTAGCCTTTCTAACTCAGAGGGGGAGTCCAGGTCTCGGGACGCATTACCTATAAGAAGTCTAGCACACTGAGGTTAAATAAATCCAACCCTTTCCACTCTGTCTCTTTCTAATCATACTATCTGTCTTAGTTGTTAAATGCCATCTAAACAACATAATTAATGTCTACTAATGATATTACAAAAACTCACTCTAAAAATTGTTTCATCCATTGCTACATATTTACCCAACACAACTCTGAAATACTTACATGTTTCCAGCATCACATATTCCACACACTACGAAAGAACATCTCCATATTTTCTCCAATATTTTAAATCCCACTGTTATTTAGAACAATAGTAAACCTGCAGAGCACACCAATTGGATCACAGTAATGACATTTGAATCAAGTGTAGGCCTATGTCTACTTTCCACCATACTTATTACTTTTGCTGAACATTTATTTATATTGTCTAACTTCCTTGTCTATGATGTGCAAACAGTTCGAGTGTAAAATGTGTTTTTCTCAATGTATTTACACTACAGATTCTTGAGTTTACTCATCTCCTGGTGCTGTCGTTGTAAAAAATGTTCAATTCCTTATTGTTTTTTGTACCAGTTTTCCAAAATCAGTTCCAACTGCCGTGCCGTTTCTGGAAAGGTGGCGGTACGGCTACACAATGTGTAAGAAGGTGCCAACATGTTCCTTTTTTAACTTTGATCCGGAGCGCATCTGCAGTGCGTTCTACAACTTCCCATGGTCCACTCCATACAGGTTGCAACAAGTTCATCTTGTGGATTTTTACATTTACCCAATCACCTGATCCAACAGAAATATTCGTCATGGCCCTGGCATATGCTTCCGCCTCAATATTTCTAAAATCTAACGCTGGTTCTCCTCTGTATTGTGAGGTGCTACCTTGTGGTGGATATTGCTGAGTGGGGCAATCTCTGGCCAGATGTCTACAATCTCCACATATGAAGCAGCCATCATCCCTTCTTCCTCTTGATCGTTGCTTTCCTCTCCATTGTCCCTTTTGTTGATGTTGTATGGGAGTGTATACCTGTGCTTGCGGCTGTACTTGGTTAGGAAGATACACAGGTATTTGCTGTTGAATATACTGTGGTGCTTGTGGCTGTACTTGCGTAGGAAGATACACAGGTGTCTGCTGTTGAAGATACTGTGGTGCTTGTGGCTGTACTTGCGTAGGAAGATACACAGGTGTCTGCTGTTGAAGATACTGTGGTGCTTGTGGCTGTACTTGCGTAGGAAGATACACAGGTGTCTGCTGAACCTGGTTTTGTGGACATACACTTCCTCCTCCGCTTTGTTGAACTGTTGGAGGTGTCCGCCCTGCCTTCTCTGCTAGTATGGCCATCTGATTTGTCGATTTCTTGTTTTTATTAGCTTCGGCATCTTTCTCAGCTACTTGTATCTTCAAAAGTCTTAGTTTTAGTGTTTTAATTTCTTCATCATTTTCCCCCTTTGTTGCCTGGTATTTCATATCGTAGTGAATGAGATGTAGTCTCCATTCTTCAATGGGTTTAGCGTCTAATCCCACCACGTCTCCCAGGCCTGCCTGCACTGATCGGGGAAGGGCTTTAATGACAGCGTTCTTCCACAACATTACAACAGCCGGAGAAACGTCATGCCGTTCTCCAGTGCAGTCCTCCCACACTCCTTCACATCTCTTCAAGAAGGCATGCATTTCTTCCCCCGGTTCTTTTCTCAGGCTGTTGAGGGCATGTAAATTGCGTGTTGTCGGGTAGATGTGACGAATAGCAGCCCAATAATTCGACCTGATATTGTTGAATGAAGTTTCATCTGGGTCGTGCGTGCAATTGGCCTCGGAATCTACTGCTCTTGCCTCTAGTCTTCCTTCTATCCGTCCAAGCAGGGCCCTCATGTCTCCCAAGCACAGGTGGTCTTGGACAGTGTACTTCTCCAGATCAGTAACCCACTTCTGACCTCCTTTCGTGAGTGGAGGTAGCTTTGACACTAATGCTTCCATGTCCCTGTGAGTCCATGATTGGTATTGAAATCCTCCTCTTCCAGCCGCTATCAATGGCATGGAGGTATGTGCACCGGTCTTGGTTCTTTTAGTTGTCTTGGTTCTTCTAGTTTTGGGGCATGTCCCAGGGTAATGTTGCTCGTTTTCGTCACTACTATTATTCTCAGGAGGAGATGCAAAACTGCGTTGTTGCTGTGACTGTTCATGGTATGGGGAGTGTCTACTGGTTTCAGACTGTGTACCGCTGTCGTCATATTCATCTCCCCGTCCATTGGAATAGTCAGGAGAGTAGTTTGTTCTGCGTTTTCTTTGAGTTCTTCGTTCTTCTTGTTCTCTCCTTTGTCTATCTGCCATCATGTCCTGGAATCTTACATCGTCTTGTTGCCTCTCCGCCAGAAGTAGTTGGTATTTATCTTCCTCCCTTTGTCTTTCTGCAATAATGTCATTATGGGCTTCAACTGCCTTCCGTCTTTCTTCAATAATGTCATTATGGGCTTCATCTGCCTTTCGTCTCTCTTCCATTCCTCTGATGAGTTCTGCTTCAATGCTTCTGTTGAGCTCCTCGTCCATTCTTCTGTCGAGTTCCTCCATTCTTCTGTCGAGCTCTTCGTGTCTTCTGCCGAGTTCTGCTTCCATTCTTCTGCCGAGTTCTTCCATCAGCTGGTTGACACTGGATAGGATTCTTACCTCAAACGCCAATTCTTTCTCATTTGGGGCTTGAATCGAAGCTTGGTGAGAAGGGTTGTTCTCTGATATGTCTGGAGGAGACACTTCGGTCAGGCTTGGATACTGCTTTGGAGTTTGGATAAGTGGAGCCTCTTTTGTCATTTCTGCTGTGTCTTCATTTACTGGCAGATCTTCTGCGATGGATGTCAGATGGATTAACAGACATGTAACCCTAACTTTTCTTTTTTCAGCTTTTTTCATAGCGCTTTTAGCAGGTCCATACCAAGGGGTTTGTACGGCTTTGATCCATGCTTTTTCCTGTTGTAGGTATTCAGCATTCTCATGTTCAACTACAGCTTTTCTATGGGCTTCCGTTGGTCCAGGTTGATCATCTGCTGGAATCAATCCTCTCGTTTGCCACTGTTCCAACAGTTTCTCTATTTGGTTCCATGTCTTCTGTCTATGACTTGGACACGTTAAAGCATCTGATCTGATGTTTACTCTCGCCTTAATATCTGCAGTTGTGCCTGGCACTGTGAGTGCTCTTAACTCTGGCGACATGTTTCTTAAGTACACCGATAATATTATTAAGTTTATCAAAATGAATGACTAATCCTCTGAATAGTACCCTTGTATTCTTTATAAAGATATCCTATGTCATCTGAACTTAACTTTAAAATCTTGTAATTTTTTTACAGAATTTGGAAAAATAAATTTAAATGTTGTAAAACTGAGATTGGAAAATCAAAATTAGACAAATTAAATTAAAATTTTGAAATTATGCACATTTTTTAAAATCTGAACAAATAAATAAAAATGAACAGTGTATGGTTTTGACTTTGTAAAAATAGGAATATGGTGCAAATCCAAATAAACCGTGGACAGTGTATACTCAAGTTGAGTTCAAGAAATTATGCAAATGTCATAAAATGTGTTAACTGCAATACTTTAATTCAAAGAAACCACATGTAATCTTTATCTGTGTGGTGAAGAATGTATTAACTGTAATACTTATTATGTCCGCTAGGGGAGCTGTTTTATTTGTAACTCCTCTCAAATGTATCAACTAGTACTTCCGGTTCATAAACATACTTCCTGTTTATTTCAAAATATAAAGTTCAAAGTACTTTCTTTGAAAAGCATGAAAAACAAAACAACTCAATCTACTCTCAACGTTCATCTACACCATCCCTGTGTATTTAATCAGTAGTTACCGGTTGTATCTTTACTCGAAGTATTTCACCATCTAGTAATGCTAACTGGCTAGCTTAGCAGTATAGCATTAACCGCATGTGACTGGGGGAAGGGGAACAATGGAAACACTCAACATCTTCATATAAATAACCACACTGATTGACAATACAAAACACAATCTTCATTTATCTTAGCTCTAAATTATATAGATGCTGACCCTAAAAGCCGATCTCATACCAATCTTGTACACAATCGTTTCGGCTTAGAAGATCACACAAAAATATACTTTTTGGCTTAAAAACTCCACACAATATACGTTATTAAACCAGACTACGCAGGTTTAACACATCGAACATATAGACTAACATGAATGGACCCAGTCCAGTGTAAAACAAATCAGGTCTGGTACCTACCCAGAGGTATTTAACACAATGTGAACCCTATCCCAGATAAAATTCTGCCTCACCAGGTCTTAATATGTAATATTCACATTATCGGGCGGCGCCGAAGATACAACAGAGACGAATAGAAACACTATATACAATCTCCACACCACTCGCAATCACCACGGAATTAAACAGGTAACTGTCTCACCTTTCGTTTAGGCCCAGCCAAAAACTCATTTTCTGCAGGCTAGTGTGATGCTAGTTAGCTTGCAGCATTCCCCTCTCTTCCAGCTCTATCCCGCTTCAGAGCCCACCCAGGGACGCCATGTTAGTGTATTCTATAACCCCGAAGGCAGGAGAGACTGAAAAGAGTCAAGGGAAGCTTATAAAAGTTAACAGCATTTAATTACACAAAAGATGTGGTGGTGTACAGTACAAAATGAAATGTGCGAGTGGAGGCGTTCTCCTCATCCGCCCGGTCAGTCCAGGTCACCCGGTAGAAAGAGGTCAATCCTTGGCTTGCTCTTCCTGTTGTCATCGGAGGTCTTCTCCTATTGGTCGGGGGCGGGTCCAATGCAATTTCTGCCTTTTTCTGTTGTTAAATTATATCATTCTGGTGTCTGTGGTTATTTAAACATTCCCTAATAAACGTTATTCAGCGGTAATAAATGAGTACTAAACCCAGTGTGCTCAGTGTACAACATCACATGTCCTTTCACCTTTGATTCACGGTTTGAAAATGCAGCATTTCGCCACATGCTAATGCTAACCGGAAATGAAGAATTTTCAGAATAAAAGTATTAAGTTAATAGTTAGTGAACTTCCGGTTTTTCAGAATAAAACTGATTTAAATTAAATAGTGTATTTAATTCAAATTACGCCATACCAACATTGATTTTAATTTCTAACATTAGCTAGTCTATTTTATGCTATAGTAGAGCATATCGAATTTAAATGAACCTTAACAATGCATACAGTAACCTAAATAGCAAACTAACTATATAACGTACAAGGATGACCTTATTTTAGCAACCTCGCACAGAAGCCTTTTGGTATACAGTAGCATCCCACTTAATGTTTTACACTCTTGGATGCTACGCATAGCATCGTTAGCACAGAAGGAGCTACGATTGCTCAAATGCTAACCCAACTCTAAACATTCATTAACGTTAGCTTAATAAAAACACCAGTAACATAACATAAAGTACGCAGGGTTGACTTACCGAAGAAACGGCATTCATGGACGGTCTGTTTCAACCGCAGATAAATCCTATATTTGCATGACGAATAGTCCACCAGGAACCAACACAACAAACACGGCCGAGTTCAAGTAGTGTTCTCCTCATGAGCTGAGCCGCTGTAGCATCACGGAGCTAACGGAGCTAGGAGCAGCAGTCCCGTTGTCATGAAGGGGGAATCTAACTATATACAGAATATGTTTTTGTAGATCCAGGCTAGAAACATGTTCATTTTCTTATGTTAAGTTGGACATTTTAACATAGGGTCTACGGGAATTGCTCCCATCTGCATCCATCGCCTATAGTTTGTAGCATTGGGCTTCACCGCACTGTCCCGGGGTTTGCCGCTTGGCTCTGATAGGCCAGAAATCGGTTTGATTGCATTAGGGCTCGATTGCTTATCCTGTCTGAGTAGCCCGGATGAGGCTGCATCGCAATTTTTGACGTCGAATTTTACACACCGAATTTTTTGACATCGAATTTTAAACACCAAAATATTTTACGTCGAATTTTTTTCACTTGCATTTTTGGGATCTGAATTTGAACATTCGAATTTTTTTAACTTGAATTTTTACATTTTTATTTCACATAGGTAAATTCGGAGCAAAAAAAATTCAGATTCATGATTTTCAAAGTAATTATTTTCAATGCTATAAATTCGGTGTCTAATACAATTCGAATACTTCTGTCTCTTGTTTGCTTCCATACAGGTGTTTCATTCATTGCATAACTACACCGTAGTTGTGTATATGATATGTCAATAAACCTTTGAAAATCTTGAAAGGGATGTGCAAAATAGCCATAATATACAGTCTTTAATTAACTATTAGTAGAGAATAACGAGTAGTGAATATACTTTATTACTCGTTTCCATTCATGTCAATTGCAGATACATGTTTAGTCTTCTCAAGCACCAACTATCAAATATATCTCCTGATTGTTGGCACTTGACAATCACCTTACCTGAATTTTACTCAGGTGTAACTAAAGTCTGATTTAAGGGTTGTTTATATTTCACATAATTAATCAGAAGCTGCAAAGTAGCCTAACTCAAATAAATGCAGTGGAGTAAAAATACCAGGTTAACCTCTGAATTGTAGTGGAGTAGAATTACAAAGTAACAATGAGCTGTCATGTGGGTATATATAGCGATTTTCACCCATTTATTAATTATAATAAATAATATATAATAGTTTTACATTTGATAACGCCAATGTGTTTAATACTGGCAACTTCTAATTGTGGGAAAAACGAAAACGTTCAGTAGAGACGTCCCATAGAACATTTGGCGAAACACAATAGCCAGCATCCAGCATGTGTAGTTCTGGGGGGGGCGTTCGATTCCAGTTTTGGATAGTCTGGCATGGTTTCGTTCCATTTCACACAGCTGTTTGACGCTCTTCGTAACCTTACGGGGACTGTAGTCCTAAACGATAGCTGGGGATTATGGGTAGTGTAGTGTCTTCGGCCATCCTAAACTCAGAAAGGTTGACAATCGCAATGACGCTCGAAATGTCTCTTATAGTCCTATGTCTGTTTCCGGATATTTTATTTTGAAATTCAGTCCCTGACGGACGCCAAAAAAGCCCGAGATTATGGAATTAAACCAATAAATAAAAGCAAGGATAATTGTGTGTTATTGGTGAGTAAATAACAGTGTGTTATTTTGAAAAGAATAACAAATTAGAAGGAAAAAAATATTTAAAAAATACAGATTTCAGTATTCTGAGGCTCTGAGCCCCATTTATTTTCCTCACAGACGGCAACAAAAGACAGAAATTATACGATTTAAAATAAAAGCAATAATTGTGGCTTGATATTGAGTAAGAACATGTTTTTATGAACCACACAGCTTCAGGTCTTCCTCGACCCGACCGGAGAAAAAGACGTGCTGCAGGCAAAAGAAATACATTTAAAAAAAAAAAAAAAAAGCTTTTAAAATCGTGCTGTGCAACACGAAAAATAAGGGGCAAATCGTGTTGGGGAACACGAATCAATAGATTAAAAATCGTGTTGGTGAACACGAAATGCCGTGAGACTGGGTTGGATATATTGACATATATATTAAATCAGATGGGTCAGTCACTGGGGGTGAGGCGGGGTCTGCTGTTTCTTCACTGGGGGTGAGGCGGGGTCTGCTGTTCCCTCTCCAGGGAGATAACCTGTCGTGGCACTCTGAACACTAGCTGAAGGGTTCCCTCCAGCAAGCTTCTGGCCTCCAGAGTCCAGAAGGCAAACCTTTGGCCATGCCTTTGAAACAATAAGAACAAGACGTCATCTAAAGTATTGCATAGGGAAAGGCTAACGGGCCGTCCACACAGCAGCTTTGACCAAATCTTGAAAATCCTGGAGCTGGGCGTGTCTGACAGCTTGGGGATTTCGCGACCAACAACCAATCACATGAATATCCCGCCCCCGACATACAAAGCAAAAAAACCCGGTTCTTCTACACTATTGTCAAATAGGAAGGGCTATGATGAACATTTATTTTTTTAACATTTTGAACATTTATGAGATTAATGTTTATGGTGCTATTTTATGCTACATTCCATGCTGGCTAATGATACTGTCTATGCTTGCTAGCAACGAAGTAAACTAGCAACGAAGTAAACTGGATATAAAATCCCCAAACAAGCGAAAACCTACCAGTTTCACCCACTGCCTCTGCCACCTCCCCCCATGCCTGGTTCCTCCGGTTTGTATCCCGGTAAGTAAATAGGGACTGGTCATAAAGAACCGGGTGATTTGCTACCGCAAAAACTAAGTTCTCCTCCATTTTTGTGGAATATAGAACTGAACTGCGGGTCTGGTTCTCCCAGCTTGCACGCGGTTTGATTGGCTAGCGCTTGAACTGTCAGATTTGCATAAACGGATCTGATTGGCTGTCGCTTCCAGCTCAGCCTCAAAAGTTGAACATTGTTCAACTTTGGAATCCTGAACATCCTGGAAATCCTGGAAATCTTCGCCTCGCCCCCCCACAATGCAGTTCGGCGACAAGCGAGGGAAAGTGACGTCATCCCCATTCAAAGTCAATGGGCGGAGACGCGCTGGAAGCGGTGGACAAATCGCCAAAAGCTGCTGTGTGTACGGGCCGTAAGGCATTGGTGCACAATTGATATGCATTAATAATCTCAACAGATAATGCCATCCAGAGTCTTACAGCTCTTGTTACTGATGGTCTACTGATCTGTACATGGTTAACCTAATATAATAGATAATCTACAAGTGACCCTCAAAATAATAAATGTATGTTTTTTGTGAGTCACTTTGGATAAAAGCCTCTGTCAAATAACATAACCATAACATACGGTTTCATTAAACAAATAAACAAAACAGTTGGTTTTGCAGCGAGTCATCATAGGCTAACAGATGACATTTAGCACGTGTTGCTTGTATGGCTGTTCAATACAACAGAATAGTTGTTAACTTTAAAAAAAACAACATGATTCACATTACTCACACTATTACTGTAATTAGTGATTAAATTACTCAACTATGACACCTAGTTGGGCTTGCCAAAATCACGCTAGTTTCATTAAACAAATGATCAAATATGCTAACGAAGCTAATGCTTTTGCTAATGCTTTTGCCGAAAGCTATAGCTAACGAATAGTTGTTTTTAGAGACTTTAATACGGTTAGAAGCTATCATAAGCAAACAGATGTTTGTTTGTATTGCCTTAACACTATCATAGTTAATGTTAGCTAATCACACTTCATTTCAAGACACCGGAATTGTTATTAATGTTAAACAAATACAACTTTAAAAGCACTTCACATTACTCACA